CTCGGAAGTGGTTGCTGCTGCTGTAGGGCCTAGAAGGCTAAGTGGCTGGCAGGGAATAAGAATTTATTCTGGGCCGGGCGCGGTGGCTCACGCCTGTAGTCCCAGCACTTTGAGAGGCCGAGGCGGGTGGATCACGAGGTCGAGAGATCGAGACCATCCTGGTCAACATGGTGAAACCCCGTCTCTACTAAAAATACAAAAAATTAGCTGGGCATGGTGGCACGTGCCTGTAATCCCAGCTACTCAGGAGGCTGAGGCAGGAGAATCGCCTGAACCCAGGAGGCGGAGGTTGCGGTGAGCCGAGATCGCGCCATTGCACTCCAGCCTGGGTAACAAGAGCGAAACTCCGTCTCAAAAAAAAAAAAAAAAAAAAAAAAAAAAAAAAAAAAAAAAAAAAAAAAAAAAAGAATTTATTCTGAAAGAGACAAGGGGCCGCTAAAGAATATTCGGCAAAGAGGACATGACTAGATTTCAGTTTTGAAATGGGGCCCCGGTGGGCCAGGCGTGGTGGCTCATGCCTGTAATCCCAGCACTCTGGGAGACTGAGGCGGGCGGATCACTTGATCTCCGAAGGTCGAGACCACCTGGGCCACCTGTGGAAACCCTGTCTTTACAAAAAATGGTGGCATGCGCCTGTAGTCCCAGCTACTCGGGAGGCTGAGGTGGGAGAATCGCTTGAACCCGGGAGGTGGAGGTTTCAGTGAGCTGAGATCACACCATTGCACTCCAGCCTGGGTGACAGAACAAGATCTTTTCTCAGAAATGAAGAGCTGCTTGGCGCTGGCTGACCCACCACCACACTGAAGGAAAGGAGAAGGTAGTTCAGGTGGAGGCCGGGCAGGGAACAAGAAAACCCAGCTGAACAGAGAAGGCCATGGCAGACAGGGGAGGGAGGGAGATGCCACTCTAGAAACTTCTCAAAAGAAGCGTGGATAACACTTGCTGGGCTCTGGGGGAAAATACTGTTTCCTGCACGTGGGAGAGGATTTGCTGGGAAGGGTACCGCTTCCTTAGGTCAAGGTGAAAGACCTCAGTAGAAGAAAAGGCTGGCTGTGGTCCCTTCCCCTGGGGAAGGTGGGAGCTGGGGCCTCCCCAACCTTGTGCTAAAGTTTGGCAAGAGTGGGAGGGAGGACGCAGGCCTCCAAGGAGCCCCTGCCCAGGATTTGCAGATGCAGTGGCTGTGAGAGCCGAGGCCAGGTCCTGCCTGGTGCCGAGGTGATGAAATCTAAAGCTCCTGAAAAGCCGGGCTTCCCCTTCGGGGGCAAGGCCATTGAGTACCACGCAGAGGAACACAGAATAGGGTTTCAGAACAAGAAAAAGATTTCTAAAACCCTTCCAGGGCCCTGTTGCACTTGTGTGCGTCTGCGTCCTTTGCCTCTCCAGCCACATCAATGTCCACTGTGAATGGAGTTCGGAAGGAAGGGCAGCCTCAAAACGAAGGATGGGAGGGAGGGAGGGAGGGAAAGAAGGGAGGGAGGGAGGAGGAGGGGAGGAAGGAAAGAAAGGAGGGAGGGACGGGAGAGGGAAAGGGAAGAGGGAAGTGGGGTGGAGGAGGGAGGAGGGAGAAAGGGGATGAGGAGGGGAAGAGAGGGAGAGGGAAGGGAGAGGGGAGGGGGAAGAGAAGGAGGGGGAGGGGGAGGGGAAGAGAGGAAAGGGGAGCGGGGAGGGGAGGAAGGAGTTTGAGACCAGCCTGACCAACATGGCAACCTTTAGTAATTTTTGTAAAAATACAAAAATCAGCAGGGCATGCATGCCTGTGATCCCAGCTACTTGGGAGGCTGAGGCAGGAGAATCGCTTGAACTTGGGAGGCAGAGGTTGCAGTGAGCCGAGATCGCACCTTTGTACTCCTGCCTGGGCAACAAGAGTGAAACTCCATCTCAAAAAGAAAAACCCCCCAAAAAAGCAGGGCACCGTGGTGGGATGAAGGCAGGTGCCCAGATGTGGGGTTAGTGGTGGAGGAGAGAATGGGCTAGTGCTCGATCTGTTTCCAAGGTAGAGCCGGTGGGGCTTGCCGATGGGCTTCGACTTATTGAGGTGAGGAAGGAGCGGGTAGCTACAGGTTTTGGGGGATGAGGAGGGGAAGTCAGGAGTGAAGTGTTTGGTTCTACATATCACCTCCAGGGCGCCTATTAGATGCCTGGTGGAGAAGTTGGGGAGGCTCTGCACACAGATGGTTTTAACAACACAGGCTGGGGAGAGGTTGCCGAGAGAGAAAAGAGGAGATGCCCCAGGCACGGCCACGCTGAGGACTCAGGAGGAGGGACAGCCAAGCTGGGGCTGAGGGCTGAAACTCACCAGACTTGGCAACGGCGTCTGGCTATTTTGTGATGAATGATATTCTGGCACGGTGGAGTGAAGACCTAGTTGAAGGGCCTCAAGGGAGACAGGGAAGCAAATGGTGATTGTGAGGGTGAGTCTCGCTGCAGTGCTGGGGGACGAAGGGTTTTGTTACGATCTTTCCTTTCTGCAACCATACCAGAGCAGAAAGCACACCCAGGGCTCACACAGAGGGACTCTCAGTGAAGGCCTCCTTCTGCAATGGGAAGTCCACAAGGCTAGAAACCAGAAATCGCAACCTAACCCCGCCCTATGGTCAATTTTGTAGGTGACCTTGGGTAGGTTACTTTACTTCTTGGTATTTCTGTTTCCCTCGCCTTTAAAATGAGCAGCACGCTCCTGCCTTTTCTGTATCGTAGCTGCACAAATGATTAGGTAACATCACTGATGGGCATTCATGTCCCCAGTCCACTTTCTAGCTCTGTGTGTTTAACTGTAAGTGCCTCATAGAAGTGGAGCCTTGCAGTATTGTATTGGTTCTTTCTGTGGCTGGCCTATTTCACTGAGCATATGTAGCACAGCTAGCCTAAATTAGAGCCTAAACAACACCATTGTATAAAAGAAAAAGCTGATTTTCAAAAATAAGTTGTAAAGGCTGCCCCATTCTCCTCACAGTGACTGCGGGCCTTGGCCTCTGTAAATACAGCTGCTAGTTTACTTTGCAAAATGCAAAAGGTAAAGCTGCTTATCAGTAACTGCCAGAGTTGCTAGTCTTTGCTTACCGGTAATAACCAGAATAAGCATCCCCATCTAATTCCATCCTGGCTCCTGCAGCTTGTAATAAGTGACTAAGATCTGTTATTTCTACCTTAACTCAGACAATGTGCAAACTAACGCTTATCTTGACTTCTGTAAGCCACTTAGGTAACAAAAACTTCTAGCCCTCGGAATGTCCAGAGACCGGCACCCTCCTCCCTGCCCGGAAAGTGATTTACAGAATCCCCTGGCCCTCAGAATGTCTGAATCCCTTCACCTCCACCCCCACCCCACACTCTCACCCCCACTCCCAAGGTGGCTTTTTGGGTATAAAAAGTATTGGCACCCTCCTTTTCCCCGCCACGGGTTGGAGAGACGCGAGTCCTCCGTAGCCGCCGGCAAATAAACCCTGTAATTTGGCATACTTTTGTCTTGGTGTTGACTTTCTATGCTCGGTCCAGTACAACACATAGTGTCCTCAAGGTTCACACATTATAGCATGTGTTAGAATTTCCTTTTTAAGGCTGAATGATAGCCCATCGCATGCATGTATCACATTTCATTTATCTGCTGACGGACACTGGGGTTGCTTCCACCTCCTGACTAACGTGAATAGCGTTGCCGTGAAGAGGTGTACAAATCTCTGAGACCCTGCTTTCAGTTCTTTGGGGTATATACCCAGAGTGGAATTGCTGGATCAGATTGTAATTATATATACACATACACACATATATGTATGTGCATTATGAATTTGTGTGTGTGCGTATTTATTTATTTTATTTTCAGGAACTTCCATACTGTTTTCCACAGCAGCTGTAGCATTTTACATTCCCACCGAAGTGCACAAGGCTTCCAACTCCTCCACATACTTGACAGCACTTGTAACTTTCTGGTGTGTTTTTTTGTTTTGATCGTAGCCATCCCAATGGGTTAGCCCATGCTAAGTGATCAGGACGGTCACTGTTACTATCAAGTGAGGTAACAAATCAGAATGTATTTTGGAAACAAATTATATCTGTTAGAATGAAACCAAGAAAACAGAGAACATTAAAAGGAATTTAGTGGGGGAGATTCGTTGTACAGGGGATGGAAAGGCTGAGAAGCCAAACCACAGGAAGCCATTAACATTACAGCCACCTAGGGCAGAGGACAAAGGACACAGGGATACCCAGAGGAAGCCAAGGTGGTGAGGGGAGCTGTGAAGGTAGCTGGAGGGAGAAGCCCAGGGAAGCCTGGAGGAATGTAACCTGTGAAAGGAATCTCAGGCAGACACCCGCTAGGAGGCTCTGAGAAAGAGCAGGGCACGTAGGTGTGGCCTGAGAATAGATTAGGATTGACCTGCGCGGGGCGGGGGCAGCTTTTCTGAGTGACCTGACGATGAGTCAGGAAACCTGGACGTGGCGCTGTCCAGAGCACGAGAGTGACACCGAACACAGGACAGCAGCACTGAGTCTTGGACACGGGGCGCAAAGGAGTCAAGGATGTTGCCAGGCCTGTGGCAGAAACTGAGAACCGAATAGAGAAGCAGGCTGAGCATGGTGGGGGTCAACCTTTCCTTTATCAACCCCATGGTAAGTGATCAGGATGGTCACTATTACTACAAGTGGAGTGACAAATCAGGACGCGACGTTCCCAAAAAATAAACCACCTGAGTCACACAGGTGTGAACATTTTTAAAAATTAAATTTTTATTTTGAGATCACTGTAAGTTTGTGCTCAGTTGTAAAAAAAAAAAAAAAAAAAAAGAGATCCTGTGTACCCTGTACCCATTCCTCCATGTTGCAAAACTAGCACGACATCAGCGCCACGGTAGACGCGGTCAGACCGCAGGGCATTTCCATCAGCAGAAGGGACCCTCTGTGCCCCCTCAGAGCCACACCCACCCTGGCCTTCCGACTAACTTAATGCTGGCAGGACTTAGCCAGACCGTAAGGACTCTCCTACGCGGGACAAAGAAGAGGGTCAGGCAATGGGAGGGCGACTGAAGGCGAACTGGCAGCACCCACGCCCGGGGTACTCCGGGAGACCGCAGAGGTCCGCCGAGAAGGCACCCACTTCCGCGAGCGCTCCGGGCCCCGCCCCTTTCGTCGCGGCCGACCAATTGCCGCCCGAAGGCCGAGCCGCTTCCGTCCACGGCAGGGGAGGGCCGGAAATGAACGGCAGCTTTTCCCTCCAGCCACCGCCTCGTCCAAGATGGCGGACCTCCACCGCCAGCTGCAGGAGTACCTGGCGCAGGGGAAAGCGGGCGGCCAGGCGGCCGCGGAGCCGCTGCTCGCCGCGGGGAAGGCGGAGGAGCCCGGAGACGTCCCGACGGGGACGTGGCTGGGCCGCGCGGGCCTACGCTGGACGTGGTCGCGGAGCTCGGCGGAGTCGGCGGCTGCGGGCCCGGCGTGCCTGCCCAGCGTGACGCGCGGGCAGCGGCTGGCGGCGGGCGGCGGGTGCCTGCTGCTGGCGGCACTCTGCTTCGGCCTGGCCGCGCTCTACGCCCCAGTGCTGCTGCTGCGCGCGCGCAAGTTCGCGCTGCTCTGGTCGCTGGGCTCGGCGCTGGCGCTGGCGGGAGGCGCGCTGCTGCGGGGCGGCGCGGCGTGCGGGCGCCTGCTGCGCTGCGAAGAGGCGCCGTCGCGGCCCGCGCTGCTCTACGGGGCCGCGCTGGGCGCCACGCTGTTTGCCGCCTTGAGCCTGCGGAGCACGGTGCTCACGGTGCTGGGCGCAGGCGCGCAGCTGGCCGCGCTGCTGGCTGCGCTGGTCGGGCTGCTGCCCTGGGGCGGCGGCACTGCGTTGCGCCTCGCGCTGGGTCGCCTGGGCCGCGGCGCCGGCCTGTCCAAGGCTCTGCCCGTGTGAGGACCTCGCGCCCGCGCCAGCTGGGAAGGACGCGGAGGCAGCGCCAGCGGAGCCGGGACCCCGCTGCGAAGGCCCTTCCGCGACCGCCTGCGAGTCTAAGCTGGGAGCGGCTGCTGGCACCGGAGGCGAATGTCAGCGTCTTGTGCTGGACTCGGAACGCGCTCTGGAAATTTTGTCATTCAACTGGTGACAGGATGTGAGACGGTTATTAAGTTGCTCTCGAAGTAACTGTGGTCTTAGGTTCGGCTGAGTAAAGAAAAATGGCTTTTCTTCGAATTAGCTGTTCTTTTCTCAGCCTGTTTTGTTATTTGAAAATCCAGTGGTAGATGTAGGTTGTGACGGTACTTTTTTGTTTTGACTATACCAAGACTTGGAAGTTACTCTCTCATGTTTCAGTGTCAGCGAATCCAGAAGAGGATCAGATTAAACACCGAATTCAGCCACTGGACTTTTAAAAGTACTTATTTAAGATGGTTGATCTTGGGCTTTTTGTTCAGTTAACGAAATCATAAATATAGTGCCTTATAACATGAAGGGAAAATTAGTTATCTGTTTGACGACGAAAGCGATGGACCAAAGAAATGTCCTGCCCCAAGAAGCCTGGGATCCAGAAAGGGGCACGGACAGGCTTAGCGGTCTCGGCAGAACTGCTGCAAATAGGAAGGTAATTCTACGTCCGGAATTCCTGTATCGGGTGGAAACCGTGGATTTCTACAAGCTCGAATTACTCCTCACTTTATGGTCTGCTTTGTACACTAGTTTATAATTTGCAGGCTGATCTTAAGATGCTTTTCATATCTAATTGCTCTTTCCTTCATTTTAGGTTCAGCACTTAAACTTTTACCTACCTTAATTTATTGCCAGTAAGTCTGAGCCTAACACTCTAGGAAGTAAAATATATTTGGAATATAAACATTCTGTGCCAGTGGTTCTCACGCTTGACTGCTCATCAGTTACTTGAAGAGCCACACCTCAGGTCAATGCAGTCAGAATGTGGGAACTAGGTCCCAGGCAGCAGAACCCCTTTTTTTTTTTCTTCTTTTTGGTGCCGTGGCTCGGATGTATCAGAATCTTTTTAAAGCTCCACAGGTGATTCTGTGTTCCCCGAGGTTGAGGACCACTACTTTTTCTGTGCACTGGCTTGCACGGTTTGAAAATAATGCTTTTACTGAGCTGGATCCCAGTGTTGCCTTCACAGGGTGTCTGTCATGCAGCAGTACAGTGCCGCTGCTCCCTCCAACCCCAAAATGTGTGTTCCTAAGTCAGGTCCCTAAGCCCTGTCCCAAAAAGTGACTCAAGTGGCCAGCATCCACACTGAGGCTTGCAGATTACCCACCCTGAGTAAAGAACACTGTCTTGTTCCCCGTCAGTAAACAAGGTTACCTACCTCAAAAGGCTGCTCTGAGAGCAAACGCAGTATTTTCAGAATGATTCATTTTTTTCAGTTGTAAAGACTTACGCCATTGGCTGCTCTTTCTAGTCCCCTAAATTTCTGTTCTAGTTTTAAATTTCTCTAGAATTTGCAATCGTTGGGGGTTTTATAATTTTTACAATGTTTATTTTGTAAACACTTAAAAATTTGACATTTCTCAGCTGTTGGCTCACACCTGTAATCCTAGCATTTTGGGAGGCCAAGGCGGGAGGTCACTTGAGGCCAGGAATTCAAGACCAGCCTGGGCAACATAGTTAAACCCCATCTCCACAAAAAAATGTTTAAAAACTTTGCCGGCTGTGGTGGTGCACAACTGTGATCCCAGCTACTCAGGGTGGGGCTAAAGTGGGAAGATCGCTTGAGCCAAGAAGGTCGGGGCTGCATTCCTACCACTGCACCCCAGCCTGGGCAACAGAATGAGACTCTGTCTCAAAAATTTTTTCTCAGGAGGCTGAGGCAGGAGAATTGCCTGAACCCAGGAGGCGGAGGTTGCGGTGAGCCGAGATCGCGCCATTGCACTCCAGCCTGGGTAACAAGAGCGAAACTCCGTCTCAAAAAAAAAAAAAATTTTTCTCAATTCAAACATTGAAAATAGTTTTTATAAGCTCCAAATCACAACATCTAGTATATATTCTGACAGTGATGTTTTTAAAGGCCACATATATATATATATATATATATATTTAATAAAAACAATATAGAGGTTTTTGTTTTCTTCTCAAAATGTGATCTGTCAAGTCCAGTAGAGTTAAATGGTAAAATTAAATTTTTTTTAAATGTGATCTGGTTATCTGCTTACTGAGATACCACATTTTTTAAAGTTAAAGCCCAAAATAATGAAATTCTTTACACTAGAATCTCAGAAAAAAAAGTCTCGTCTTGGTATGGGTTTGTTCTCTGGATCCAGTTTTAGTTCATGAAATTTGATTGCAGTTTCTCTCTAAGCTATACCAGTTAGGGGTGAGTGAAGAAATACCCATAACCTAAAGCAATCTTGAGACTCCTAGTATGTTCATGGTGCGGTGCTGATAAATAAGCTGTAATTTCAAAGTAAAAAAAAAAAATAATAGTCTCTAGATTGTAACACTTAAAAGCAGTGCGTATGGCTGACATTTTCTCCACAGAAATCAATTAGCTTTTGCTGTTTTTACGTTCACAGAGAACCGGTTAGATTTTTATATACTGTTAAACTATGTCAGTATGCCTTTTCTAAGCAACCACTGAAACTTCAGCACCAGCGGCCAGTTGCTGTGGCTCACACCTGCAATCTCAGCACTTTGGGAGGCCACAGTGGGTGGATTGAGCCCAGGAGTTTTAGACCAGGGCAACATGGTGAAACCCCACCTCTACCAAAAATACAAAAAAATTAGCTGGGCATGGTGGTGTGCACCTGTGGTCCCAGCTACAGGGAAGCTGAGGCAGGGTTGAGGCTGCAGTGAGGCATGATTGCACCACTGCACTCCAGGCTGGGTGATGCAGCGAGCCTGTCTCAAGAAAAAAAGAAACTTCAATCACTACTAAATCTGCCAAATAAATCTGACTCTGACGCCAAAGTGAAGCTGTCAATGTAATGAAATGTTAAGGTGGCCATAGAACAGTCCTTTTAATAATAAAAGCTTCCATGTAAAACCAAAATAAAGGTCAGTATAGAAAGTATCATGGGGTATGTATAATAAACTGAATTTTTGGCTTCCAATCCAAACTGGACCAAATGGTATGTTTATTTCAAACAAAGAATTTGCCATGGACAAGATCTGTCTGGCTTACTATGACTTAGAAGTATGCCCTGCCGTATTTCCACATAACTAGTATGGAAGAGGAAGATTAAGTGTTGCAAAATTGTTTTAGGAGCTATTTTGGTCCATTCCTTATCAACTCCCTGTGTGATTTAAAGTTATCTAAAGGGCATGTGACTGGGTTTCTGACTAATATCAAGTTCCTCTCATCATAACAAGCCGATTCAAATCTAAACAGTGATTCCTAGGAGATACATCCAAGGGGGAGCTCCCTCACTACACAGCCAGAAGATTGCATTTTCTCTTCAGAGTATAATTTTCCATCTGTCAGGGCAAGTCTGAGTAAAAATTTCAACCTACTACAAACTACATTCGAGTAGTTTTCAAGTATTTCTCACTCAATCACCAAAATGGTGTAACAGAATCTGTTGAAAACCACAAAGCTCACAGCTGGGATTAATTTAAATGACCTAGCCGTTAATGTGCTCAATCGTGCACTCCTCAGCAGATGGGATGTGATGGAAACCAAGGATTTCCTTAAGGCAGGCACTCCACAACTAGTTTTCTGTTAATTCTTGCGTAAATCACGTTCTGTATTCATACAAAAACTTTATGTTTTTCTCTGACAAACTGTACACATAGAAACAAATTTCCAAATGGGCAGGAACTTAAATTTGTGGAGGTGCCCCATGTCTTGTGACACTTAAAAAAAAAAAAAAAAAAAAAAAAAATCCCAGCTTTTATCTTCACAAAACAACATGTGAGTTGGGGCAATGAGGGTGGACAGGACAGGACAAGGCCAGCCACGCTGGTGGCCGGCAGCAGTCTCTTCATCTTGAAGACCTCATTGAGGGTTCCTGGGATTCAGGTGCCCAGAAAAGAGTTCAGGGCTACAATGGTGCAGGCTTCCTTTTGTTTCTCTTGGTAAGTCCACAAGTTCTTAAATACTGTCCAGAGAGGCCTCAGGTTACTCAGTTCCAACTTCTACCGACCCCTTCCACCACCCCGAGAAGCTCCTCGCCTCGGTGGGCCAGAGTTCATGTTACTCCCTCTACCCCAGTTACTGCCACTCCGGCCACCTCGAGAAGGGGTGCCACTGCCTGGAGGGCCCCCGAAAGGTTCATCTCTGTGGTATCCATCGTGGTGCTCTCCGTCTAAGGAGCTGGAACGCCCGGATTTGGGCACTCTCTGAGCAGGTCCTGGGCCCCCTCGGCCTGAAACAAACAAAATTTCAGATGAGACTTTTTGTATTTTGTCAACAACTCCCAGTACAAACTTCTACTCTCTGCTGACAGTGGACTGCTTCTGGTAGGTGTCGGGGAGACTGGCAGTGGTATTCAGAGCACTGAGAGGTGTGCCTCTACCCTTTCCTGACCCTGCCTCTCCGTTCCCGGCTCATGGCCATGGGCTGAACATTAGCTAGATCCGTGTCCCCAGGGCTGTGTGACAGACGACGGGAAGCGAGGAGATGAGCATGGAGCACCTTCAGGGAGACCCGCACCACACTCCTGGGCCATGTCCCAGGCCATCGTGAGCGTCTACCCGCTCCTAGCCACCAGAGTATGCTGAGGGAAGGTTTGAATACACTGACTTAACTTTGGAAGGACGTGCTGTTAATGTTAATAAAATGTGCTTCAACTAGGATAAGTATTCTCTATTCGCCAGGTGTGGTGGCACACACCTATAGTCCCAGCTACTCTGGAGGCTGAGACACACAAATCACTTGAACCCAGGAGTCGGAGGTTGCTTGCAGTGAGCCGAGATCGCACCACTGCATTCTGGCCTGGGCGACAGAGTAAGATTATGTCTCCAAAAACAACCAAAGAGACAAAATGGCAGAACTCTGTGCTGGAAGGACTGTCCATACAGACAGGCTAACTCCAGAAGCAGAGCACGAGCTGGGGCATGCAGGGAACAGCCTTCCCAGAAGCCTCTGAATCACACTGCCCATGCATCTGCCCTGCTGCCCTGCAAACAGAGTTGTAGTCAGCCCTCACAGGCGACTACTCTTCCTAAAGTTAGTGCTGCCTATAAAATAAAGCTCCAGAGTTTCCAGCTGGGGAGATAATCTACTGTGTCCCTGGAAATACTGCCCATAGACCATGTTTCCCAAAGTCTTTGTGACCTTGGGCACAAACGGTGTTCCTCTAGACCCAGGCTGAAAAAATCAGCAGAGCACTCAGGAGAGGACAACTCTTCCCCTCCCACTGAGAGCCTTGAGGGTTCCAAGCAGCCTTCACAGAGGGCAGAGGCCAGTGAGAGCAGGGCTCCCAGACAGCAAGCCCAGCAGAGAGTACCGGGGCATCTTGGCAGAGGGCTGAATTAAAACCTCGAGTGAACATGGATTCCTGGAGGCAACTGGAGTCATGTGTGGGCCCGAGATGCAGTCCACCGGATGACAGCTCGTGTGACACTGGCACCACATTTGGGAGCACATGCCTCTGCACAGCCCAGGCCATGAGGGTATGTGCAGTAGATGCAGGCAAGGCCTCCGTCGGCCCCTGCAGCTCCTGGAACTGTAACCACTGGCCTTCTCTTACCTTTGCTTCCTCGGTCCTCAGAAGGGCCCCCTGGGGCCTCCATCTCTCTGTGCTCAGACGTGCCCGGGCCATCATGCCAGGGGCGCTTTCGGGGAGGTAGGGATGCCATGTCCATGCCTTGGAGAGAAGAGGAGCGTTCTCTGCTGGCTGGGGAATGACCATCGTGAGGTGGATGATCAGGGCGGGGAGCATCACGAAAATGTTCATGGCCTGGCCCTGAAAAAGGAAACAAATCTTACAGGAAAACACAGTACGACCAAAAGCAGATGGGAATGACACCGTTGAGAGTGGGAAGCAACTTGACAGCCACCGTTCACTCATGCCAAATGCCCGCCACAGGCTAGGGGGTAAGCCACTTGGACACCAGGGTGCTTCCTCATGTAAGGGGGGCAGGTAAGATTCAGAGAAATGCTTCTCAGGCATTGTATCAAGACATCTTTACAGTCTCAAGTTACTGAGGACCCCTAAGAGATCTTGTTAATGGGAGTTACAATTGTGGATATTTACCATATTAGCAATTGAGACTGAGAAAATTTTAATTCATTTAACTTTATTCTCCAAAAACAATCTAGTGGAAAGAGCAGTCCTGTTTTATACTCAGACAGATCACTGTAATATCAGGCAGATTCTTCTGCTCTGCATTCTACCTGCTGAGATCAAATGCTACGGCTGAGGGACAGGAGATAGCCCAGCCCCCCAGGAGACACGAGCTGGGAAGAGGGGACCCAGTGCACCCCCGCGAGGGCCCTCAGAACTCACTTTGTGAACTGCTCATCTAGAGTTACCCAACAAGTGTTGCCTTTCCTTACCTGGCTCTCTGTTTCCATCCCAGGAATCTGGCTTCCGCCCTCCTTCAAAGCGAGGGAACTCGTCAGGAGT